GCATCAAATGGAATTATCTAAAATGGACGCACCAAAGTGAATTCTATGAAGTGGACGCACTAACGTAAATACTTCTGAATTGTGGTATAGTGAATGAAAGAGTAAGAAAGTGTGACATATGTACGTGTATTCAGCTTTATATAATTATGCATTAGAGGCTCTATATGGGACCATTAATTATATGCTTGCTTTAATCTCCAGTAAACTTGAACCTCGGAGAAAGATTTCCCCCTGGTGAAAGTTTACTAGAGTACAATACGCACACGCTTCCTCTTCCATGTCAGCTGGGTGTGCGTGTATTCAAGTAAGTGTGTTCGTGTCCGTGATCAGAAGTGTGTGTGTGTTCGACCAAATGTCGGATCTGGAAGAGAAAATGTAAATATTTACGACAGGAGGATAAAAATAAAATATTTTTTAATTTATTAAATTGATTGACAACAATTTTAGCGTGGGGGGGGGGGTCTGTTTTAAAACTCAAATCCTAACTTGAGAAAGTTAGATATCAACGTCCTGTTATCTAATCCCTCCTAGAAATAGTGACAGATTTTATACAGACATTTTTCATATAAATCTCAACAATAAAAAATATGCTCCTTTTAAAATAATAATTATCCTTATGTCTATATGGCTATCTACGGTATCCAAGTTTATCTAATAAAAGGGTATCTAGGATATCCAAGTTTAGCTAATAAAAGGATATCTAGGATATCCAAGTTCATCTAATAAAAGGATAGCTAGGATATCCAAGTTTATCTAATAAAAGGATAACTAGGATATCCAAGTTTAGCTAATAAAAGGATAACTAGGATATCCAAGTTCATCTAATAAAAGGATAGCTAGGATATCCAAGTTTAGTTAATAAAATTATATCTACGGTATTCAATGTTTATCTAATAAAAGGATATCTACGGTATCCAAGATTAGCTAATAAAAGGATAACTAGGATATCCAAGGTTATCTTATAAAAGAATAGCTAGGATATCCGAGTTTATCTAATAAAAGGATAACTAGGATATCCAAGTTTATCTAATAAAAGGATAACTAGGATATCCGAGTTTATCTAATAAAAGGATAGCTAGGATATCCAAGTTTATCTAAATATCTTTCATATATTCTTCCAACTCCACTTTATTTTGCCGACCACTGTAAAAGACCGATGTTTAGAATATCTATAAGGCTTAAGTTTAAAGTAAGGAAATGATCACGCAACTCTGAATGGACACGATTTGAAGTCTATTTTTATGGTTAAACTGTTGAAATATGAGGATAATTTAGAAAATATTATGTCGTTCTCTCTGTGCCTAATAAAAACGTGAAGATTTTGTGCAAATCGTGAAAATGTCAACTTTCCTTCAGAACATTTTAGTTCTTAATCACCATTCATGAACTTTCACCAAATCTAGAAAATAGCTTATCTATCTATCTATTCATACTTTGCTTGTCTGTTTGTATCCAACAAACGTCAAAACGGCTGAACCGATAGGGTCCATATTGTGTGTGGCATTAATATGACAACGGGGATGGTTTATAGATGATCAACTTACATAAGTTTTGCCTTGAAAATCCGAAATTTTATATTCTTGAAAATCTGTCAATGTAAACAGAAAAATCGAAAAAATACGATTTACAAAGAAAAACGGCCGCTTTAAGAGCAATGGGTAACAGCTGAAATTGTTACCAGAAAAATGGTATGAAGCCTCCTGCTTGAAGCCTAGAATAGATAGATGCTAATAACCTTAACAAAGACATTTTCCACTGTGATAATTTTCATATTGGCAACTTTTCAAATGAAATGTGGAGAGGGTGGAGAAGGGTGAACCCGAAGGGTAAGCTGTGGAGAGGGTGGAGAAGGGTGAATCGAAGGGTAAGCTGTGGAGAGGGTGGAGAAGGATGAATCGAAGGGTAAGCTGTGGAGAGGGTGGAGAAAGGTGAACCTAAGGATAAGCTGTGGAGAGGGTGGAGAAGGATGAACCGAAGGATAAGCTGTGGAGAGGGTGGAGAAGGATGAATCAAAGGATAGGCTGTGGAGAGGGTGGAGAAGGGTGAACTGAAGGGTAAGCTGTTGAGAGGGTGGAGAAGGGTGAACCGAAGGATAAGCTGTGGAGAGGGTGGAGAAGGATGAACCGAAGGGTAAGTTGTGGAGAGGGTGGAGAAGGGTGAACCGAAGGGAAAGATCTTGAGAGTATGTAGGTGCCGTGACAAACTCCTGAAAGACAAACTCCTGAAAGACAAACTCCGGAAAGACAAACTCCGGAAAGACAAACTCCTGAAAGACAAACTCCTGACGAGACAAACTCCTGACGAGACAAACTCATGAAAGACAAACTCCTGAAATAATGAAATTTTTCTCTGAATGAAATTTGATAAAATTGATAAACTTTAGAAGAAAAATCCGCAAATATTCTAGAAAAAATTCTCAATCTTTAGTAATTTGAATATGCTTCTAGCAGCAAAGTATTACAATGATCAGAATAACCAGCAAATTTATTATTATTTATTTTTTATTATTTAGGGTTAGGTTAGGTTGAGACACTTTCTGGGCCGAGCGCTGCGGCTAGGACAAGAGTTTGTCTCGTCAGGAGTTTGTCTTTCAGGAGTTTGTCTTTTCAGGAGTTTGTCTTTCAGGAGTTTGTCTTTCAGGAGTTTGTCACGGCGCCGAGTATGTAGAAGGGTGAACCGAAGGGTAAGCTGCGGAGAGGGTTGGATTAACCAGGGGAGAAATTTATATTACTTCCTCTGAACTTACTTCCTGGGTTCGAGGTTAAGATATTCCTCCTGGTATACGGTATACCTCTCTCCAGATTATTTCTTAAGGACATTCCATAAATGGAATTAGAAAAAAATTTTACTCTAGACTGTACGATCATCTCCTCTCAATCCTGGAAATAGAAAGATTCTTCTCCTCTCAGTGTTGTAGATGGAAAGGTTCTTCTCCCTCCAACCCTGTAGATGGAAAGGTTCTTCTCCCTCCAACCCTGGAGATGGAAAGGTTCTTCTCCCTCCAACCCTGGAGATACAGGGTGTCCCAATAAACATGGGAATTCAGTGACGAATATTCAAGTAAGTGTGTTCGTGTCCGTGATCAGAAGTNATACAGGGTGTCCCAATAAACATGGGAATTCAGTGACGAATTCGATATCGTCTTTTTAGATAATTCTTTGATTTAGTATAGTGATACCTACTGAGAAAGCTGTACTATGTAAGATTTTCTTCTGCTATATTCACATTTTGTTTGTATACGTTTTGACTGCATACAGTTGTACTTAGTAAAACAAGAAAATTGCAGTATACAAACAGAGTAAACTTGTCCGTTTCGTCCGTTTTCACAGTTCATCTTGTGGAGACAGTATAGACACATCTTTACAGCTATTTACCCTTATCATAAAATAAACTCTAGCAGACATAATAATATTATGGCTTTTGAAATTAGGTATAACAATGCTAATTCATAACAAAGACGATATCGAATTCGTCACTGAATTCCCATGTTTTTTGGGACACCCTGTATAATTTATTATACAATATCGTATCAATCCTATTTTTTGTCCCAAAAAACTCATTTTCTGTCTCATAACCTTTGCAAATATTTTAAATTCCACTAGTCCTTTCTTCACATGCTGATTGTTAGTTAACTACATTTTTCATCCCAAATATTTCATTTTCCAACCAAAATATTTCATTTTCCAGCCAAAAGATTTTATTTTCTGTCCCAATTGTTTCTTGCTTTTGTCCCAAATTTCCATTTTTTGTCCCGAAACTCTCATTTTGTGTCCTAACATTTTAATTTTCTGTCCCAAAACTTTCATTTTTTGTCCAAAAACTTCCATTTCCAGTTCCTAAACTTTTATTTTCTATCCCAAAACTCAGAGAAATATTTCAAATTCCACTGTTAAATTTTTGTATGCTAGAAGATTATTTTTTGTTTCAAAATTCATTTTTCATCCTTATTTCTGATTCTCTGTCCCTTAATCTTTTATTTTCTGTCCTAAAATGATAAGATATATTTACTCCACCAATCAAGTTTAGTATTTTAAACTATAATATCAATACATTATCAAAAAACATCAGCTATTTTTTAGTTTAAGAAACATAAATAGATGACTTGTCTTCTTCTAAGGGAGGCCTATGTATCATGCATAGATTCAGAACCCCAGGGGTAACTAAATTCTCAAGCACTGAAGTTGAATTGAGATATTTTTTAGTGAACACATAACATTATTTAAGTGGAATGACTTTATCAATGAATAATATGAAATATCTGACATTCATCAAGGAAGCTCTTGAGAATTTCAATGCAATAACTCGGTAATTGTTTGATTAATTTCTGTAGAGTAGCTGAAAATAACTTTTAATTAATGTAAGGAAAAACAATGGAAAAATTAACTAAGAATTTATATTTTGTGGCGGATATGAATGTCGTCTTCCGGAATATTTCTAGAGAAATCCAAGGGGGCGTTTACAGATCAGCTGAGTCAAGCATGTGATATATATTCAGATATTTTTACTATATAGATTTAGAATTTAAATAAAGTTAATCGTTTTGAAACTCTTTTCCTTTCAAGTTGTAGCACGCCAAATTGGTGACCCCGGACTTTTTGAATACGTTTTCTAAGTTCTGCAGTAAAACAACCCACCGTGTTGTATTATTTATTTATCCCAGCAAGTATTTTAAGCTGTTAATTCTCTCAAATATTTCTTAGATTTGCCTGTAAATGCAATCTATTATTTCAAGAATTCAGCGTTCACTCTTATTATCAATTCTCAACTCCCTTATTTTTCTTAGTTTCGCCTGAAATTGCAAACATTGATTAAAAGGGAGTCATATATTGTTGTATCATTTATTTATTCCAGTGAATAAAAACTCAGTGTTTGAAATAAGTAATCCGTGTCACTAGCATTTTTTTCAGCTGCAAAGTGATTCTGCCTCCCTGTTTTCTCCACAGGCTCTCACAGTAAGCGAAACCTAGTTCGACGGTGATTTTTTTCTTTTCAGCGTTGCGATGCCTGGAGACCCAGTTTTGACCACGGGCGGTGCTAGTCAGCCAGAGCCTTCTCAGTCCAGTGATATTTACGCAGTTGCCCTAAAGCTGCCTACCTTCTGGCCTGACAGTTGTGAGTCCTGGTTTATCAATGCTGAGTCTCAGTTCCACTTAAAGAACATTACCAGCAGCGTTACCAAGTTCCACCATGTCGTTGCATCGCTCCCTCAGAATGAAATCGATAATGTGGTTGATCTAATCAGGAATCCATCAGCAACGGATCCTTACGGAATTCTCAGAGCTTGTCTCCTTCAAACACACTCCCTGATGGATTACGCCTGGTGTGAATCAATAATGTCACTTCCCTTGTCTGGAGATATGTTACCCTCTGCTTTGTTGTCCAGGATGAGAGCTCTCCTTCCTATCGAGCACCAAGACTGCCTATTCCTAGGGTATGCCTTCCTGAAACAACTTCCAGCTGACGTCAGGTCTCATCTAGTTCATGAAAAAGCCGTTGACATCTCTATTCTTGCTCAACGCGCTGATGAGATTTACAGAAGCAGTTTACTTCAAATTCAGCTGTAAATGCTGTGGATTCTGTGCATGCCGTGAATACTCATCCTTCAAGGCAGAACCGTCGCTCCCAGCGTTCCCATAGAGTTTCTAGCCCAGTTTCCCGCCGATCACAGACTCCAGCAGCTTCCTCCCGCCGTTCCTCTTCCCCGTCTACTTGCTGGTATTACGCTAGGTTCGGCTCCAAGGCTCTAAGTTGTCAAGCTTCATGTACCTGGTCGGGAAACTAAAAAACCGGCAGGAGGATGCGTTTTCCCTGCCTGCCGGTTCAACTGGTTCCTCTCACATTTATCTTCATGACAAACTCCTGGTCGACACCGGAGCTTCTATATCTGTTTTTCCATGTCCTACTTCAGACAAATCTTCTGGCGTGCGGTTAATCACAGCTGATGGATCAACTGTAACCTGCTCCGGGTCCAGAACTATACCTCTACGTTTTGGAACATGGAGTTGTTTCTGGACGTTCCAGTTAGCACCAGTATCCGTTCCTATCCTTGGTGCAGATTTTCTTCGACATCATGACCTAAGTGTGAGCGTGAGCAGGAAAAAAGTGTTTTCTGACAGTTCTGTTAATGGTTGTAAGATTGATCTGCCAACATCTCATCCATCTTCAACCTCATCCTTCCAGGCAGCTTTCCTCTCCACTCCACAATGCGTCTCAGACCTCCTGAGTGAGTTTCCTGATGTTCTCCAATCCGATGGTTTCACTGCTTCCACTCCACGTCACAAGGTTCGTCATCACATTCTTACCAACCCTGGCCCGCCGGTTTTTTCCAAAGCCCGCCGGTTGGATCCTGCTAAACTTGCTATAGCTAAAGCTGAGTTCTCCGCCATGGAAAAGGCAGGCATTATCCGCCGTTCCACTTCGCCCTGGGCTTCTCCACTACATATGGTCAAGAAGAAGGATGGAGGATGGAGACCCTGCGGCAATTACCGCCGTCTTAACACCGCCACGGTGCCTGATCGTTATCCTCTTCCCAACATCGCCGATTTTTCTTCACGAGTCAGTGGTTCAACTATCTTTTCCAAGTTAGATCTTCAGAAGGGATATTACCAAGTGCCAGTAGCGCAGGAGGACGTCGAGAAGACCGCCATCATCACTCCTTTTGGGATGTTCGAGTTCTTGGTGATGCCTTTTGGGTTGCGGAATGCTGGAAATACGTTTCAACGTTTGATGGATCAAGTCTTAGGAGATCTGCCTTACTGTTTTGTTTACGTCGATGACATCCTGGTTTTCAGTAAGGATCTGACCTCCCACGTCCAGCATCTTCGGGATGTTCTCCTCCTTTGCCGTGAGTATGGTCTCACTATTGGTCTTCCTAAGTGTCAGTTCGCGGTGAAGGAGATTGAGTTTTTGGGACACCGTCTCACTCCCTCAGGTTGTTCCCCTCTATCGAAGCATTCCGCCGCCATCTCCGCCTTTCCTCAGCCAACTGACAAGCCCAGTCTTCAGAGGTTCCTCTGGATGGTCAATTTCTACAGGAAGTTTATTCGTTCTGCGGCTAGAGTGCTGGCTCCTCTCACTGATGCTCTCAAGGGACCTGGGAAAGCCATCTCTTGGACCCCACTCATGAGTTCCGCCTTCTCCAAAGCCAAACAACTCCTCTCTTCCGTTCCAGAGTTGGTCCATCCACAATGCAACGCACCGATTTCTCTTGCCGTGGATGCCTCAGATTCTCACATTGGAGCCGTCCTTCAAAAACAGCTCCGAGATAGATCCTGGTCTCCGCTTGCTTTCTTCTCTAAGAAACTTTCTGATGCTGAGAAGAAGTATTCCGCCTTTGACAGAGAGCTTCTGGCAGCCTTTTCATCTATTCGTCACTTCAGATTCATGCTAGAAGGTAAAGATTTCACAATTTTAACTGACCACAAACCTTTAACTCATGCATTTTTCAGGACGAGTCCTCCGTGGTCAGCTCGTCAACAGCGCCAACTTGCATACCTGGCAGAGTTTACTAGCTCCATTATCCACGTCCCTGGTAAGGAGAATTTGGTAGCTGACGCCCTCTCTCGCCCCATTTCACCCCTCCCCACTCTGAATCCTAAGTCTAACTCATCTTCTCCAGGTTCTATTAAACCTTGCTCCGCTTCTCCAGGTTCTGTTAAACCTTGCTCCGCTCCAAATCCTGTTTCACCACCTCCTCAGCTCCCCCCTAAGCCTGTTCAACCTCACTCCCCTCCAGTTCCTGGTTCCAAGGTGTCGGAGGTGTCGGAGGTGTCGGAGGTGTCAGGAACCGAGAAATCAAGTTTTCTCCCTCAGTCCAAGGAGCATTTAAAAAAAGATTTTACATCCGTTTTGGTCCCAGCTCCGGGCGGAGATCTTTTAAGTGAACAAGTGTTGCATAGTTTAGATGTTTCAAGTTTATCAAATTTTCAAACAGTTTGCTCATCCATGCAAGAAATGAAGTTAAACCCTTCTCTAACAGTGATTGCTCATCCCGTGGGTTCTAGTTACATTTTATGTGACGTTTCAGCTGGTTCTCTTCGTCCTTTGGTTCCCCTTCAGCTTCGCCGCAAGCTTTTCGAGCAGTTACACAGTATTTCTCACCCAGGTGTCAGAGCTTCCAGAAGATTGATGTCGTCGAGATTTGTCTGGCCGGGAATGTCCAGAGATGTCGGGTTGTGGGCAAAATCATGCATTCCTTGTCAAAAATCCAAGATCTCAACCCATGTTCATGCCTCAGTTCCCTCTATTCCAGTACCAACCAGGAGATTCTCTCACATACATGTTGATATCGTGGGTCCTCTACCAGTTAGTCAAGGTTTCTCATATCTTTTCACCATGATTGACAGAACTTCAAGATGGCAGGAGGCCGTTCCCTTATCCTCCATTTCTGCTGAATCCTGTGTTTGAGCCTTTATTTCAACCTGGGTGTCAAGGTTCGGAGTTCCTGCGGTTCTTACATCTGACAGAGGTTCTCAGTTCACATCCTCTGTTTGGACCGGAGTTTGCTCTACCCTGGGAATCTCAACCTCTTCTACAACTTCCTTCCATCCTCAGAGTAATGGCATGGTAGAAAGGTTCCACAGAAGTTTGAAATCTTCTCTGCGAGCAAGATTAGCAAATTCTGATTGGATTTCTCATCTTCCTATGGTTCTCCTGGGTTTGAGAGCCACTCCGAAGGATGATACCGGCCTCTCAGTATCCGAGGCTGTTTATGGTGCTCCTCTGACTCTTCCTGGTGAACTTGTAGATGTTCCTGAGTTACTCCCTGATACTTTCCTCAGGAAGGTCAACAGAGCTGTTGAGGGTTTCGCCGTTACTCCGCCTCATCATGTTCGTCCTGTTCCTCCAGTCCAGCTACCTGCAGCTCTCATTTCGGCTAAATACGTATTTGTTCGTGAAGATTCAGTTATATCATCATTAGCACCACGTTACCGAGGACCTTATTAAGTGATCGACAGGAAGGACAAGTATTTCCGCCTCCAGGTTGGTTCGAAGCAGGACGTAGTATCTGTTGATCGCCTGAAGCCAGTGTTCAGCGATACTCCTGTTACTACTGCACTCCCTCCGCCTCGAGGAAGACCCAGGCTCAAACCAGCACCTGCTCCTGCAACTACTCCGCCTCTATCCGCCACCAAAAATACTAAGAGGGTCAGATTTCTACTCAATCCTCAAGTTGTTCCGCCACCTATACCTTTACGACGGAACCCTCACAGATCTGCAAGAGATAGAAGGATCTGCTCCGCCATTTCTCCGCCGTTCCTTCTGGGGGGAGTACTGTGGCGGATATGAATGTTGTCTTCCGGAATACTTCTAGAGAAATCCAAGGGGGCGTTTACAGATCAGCTGAGTCAAACATGTGATATATATCCAGATATTTTTACGATATAGATTTAGAATTTAAATAAAGTTAATCGTTTTGAAACTCTTTTCCTTTCAAGTTGTAGCACGCCAAAATTTGAAAAATTATTCATGATTTCTCCAATCTTTATTTTTTCCATTGCTGTTGAAAGAACATTACCGGAAAAGATTTACAGTCAAACAAAAGCAAAATATTTAAACAAGATGTGATTTAATTCATCTTGATATGGATATCTGAAAATTATCATTCAGCCTCAAAATTATGTCCATTTGATTTATTTAGACTAAACTCTTCCATGGTGCTGGGGTTGTTCTTAAAATTAAATCCCTGCCTGCATTATTCAAGGTTTACTTTAAATTGTAATTTGACTAATTTCTATTTACTCACCTACCTAATATTAGTATTGAGGGGGTGATCACCATTCTTATATTAATAAGTTAAGTACATTGCCTCTTTAGAAAGTGACTATAATTGACCATTTGTTTCAAAAACATAAAGGAGTGCACTAAGGATGGTTTAGAGATTAGTTTGTCATGAATACAACAACATAAGAAGAACTCATATTTCTGCTAAATATTGGGAAATTATGAAACTGAATAAAATTTTTTAGTTCATTTAAAAAAAATTAATTGACCTTATTAAAATAAAAGTTTAAAATCTCAAGCTTTAGGAAAAATTTTTCAACTCTCTGACACATCTGGAATAAATTGAATTTTAGGTTTAATTAATACATTTAAAAATTATTGATTTGACGAAACATTTTCTCAACAAAAATGTTAAAGTATAAGATTAGTTTGCCTAGTTTAAAATGAAACAATCAAAATAAATCTACATTCTTGAAAAAAATTAACTATTGAAAAAAAAGAATAGATGTGTTTCAAAAAAGAAAAAGAGCACTTTTAAAAAACTTTTACAGGGCCGCCCTAGCTGGCCTGGCTCTTAAACTTTTGGACGGGGTACCCTGATTTGTTATTACTCAATTGCCGATGGAAGACCGATTTTTTAATCAGCAGATTTGTTTATGCATTTGCAATCAAACGCTAACAATTCTCCAATAAAAAAAAGAAAGGAAATGAGTCTTTGACACAAACTCAAATTTTATAATCACTATATCTTTGCAACCGCGGTGATGATGTAAAACTTTGCTATTTCAACCTTATATTATTCTACCTATCAGAATTAATAGTTTGAAATATCTAAGGTCCACGAAATTGGGTTTCAAATATATAGGGATTATGAAATCTGAGTTTGTGACAAAGACTCAATTCATTACAGTGTCATTCGCATTCTTGATACACCTTGTATGCCTACGTAAAGGGAAAAACCTAAAACTATGTAATTCATACAGATATAAAATTTTTTACGTATTTTACGTATGAAAATTCGTATTTTTACTTAAGAAACAAAGAAATATGTATAAATACGTATGACATACGTACTTTTAGGTTTTCCGATTAGAAGGACCATGAGTTTGGTTCTAGCGCACACAAAAAAAAAATCCGAAATAATTAAATCTTTCGTATATGAAAGGGTCGCCGGTGACGATAACCTTACCCCTAACCCCCCCCCCCCCATCCAAAACTAAGATTTTTACACATAATTTTCTAATTGATAATGCTTCCCAACGTATAGCTATAGACTTTCGTGGACCAATCCCTGTTGGTTTAGTGTGAAGAGCGCTAGCCTGGGTTTACCAGGTGAATCCGTTCTGCAAACATGCATTTCTTCTCTTATACTCATACAATATACAGAATAAGATACATATATATAGTTAAAAGTTAAAATTATATAACAGTTAATCATATTCATTTTACTTAATTTTTATTTAAAGCTAGGACAGAAGAAGCTGATTGTGATTATTTTCCATACTTTAACCATTGTATTTTCGCACTGCCTTGATTCTTGTTCTTTATTTTGGAATAAGCAGTGTTCGGGTCTTTCGTTTGATATTTTGAGGATCATTTATATATTACGACAACTTTTTATTTAACAAACCTAGGAGGCCGAGGGCCAAGTGAATTTTAGTTTATTAGTATATTTATTATTCAAGAGTATTTCCTTTTTTCAGAAATAAAGAAACTCAACGTGTTATCACGAACAAGTTTTTCTTCAGTCTCAATGTAATGGATCAAAACTGGAGAATGGTAAATCTACTGGATTTTCTCTTAGTAGGGTTTACACTGGGTGCAGCAGCAGGAACAGTTTTACTTCCCTATTCTGAGACTCAAGATGTTGGTTACACTTTATCTGCACCAGATAGAGTTGGCTGCTACAGGCATTGGTTTATGCGTTATTTCGTCGTACATTCCTTTTTAATTCAAAAGTTTATAGAAGTTAATATAGACCTAATTGAATTTCTGTTTTGACATATGATTCAACCCTTTTCTGAAACATTGTAAGAACATGAGGGGGGGGAAGGGTCGTAGGTTAACAGAATTATAGTCTGGTTGGTTAATTGGCTAATTGGTTCGTTGGTTAGGTTGGTTCGTTGGTTAGGTTGGTTCAATGGTTAGGCTCCTAAACTCGGACACAGCGTCTCCAATAATCATTAAGTACATTTATTTCAAACCTGTAATAAATTACAGGTATTAAACATGAATAACAATACATTTATTTAGTTAAAATGTTTTATAAAATAGCTTACTAGTTTTTATATTAAAAATGAATGAAAATATTTTAATGTAGCCAAAATGTTAGATAGAATAGCTTACTAGTTTTATATTATACATGACAGACAATATTTTAATGTAGATAAATATTTGATAGTATATCTTCGTGTCCGGATGAAAAGGAGTGGTTAAGGGTTTGAAGGTTTGGTGGTGTAGTTTGAAACATCTATAATACTTCTGAAAATATATACCCGATTGCTTAAGTGGAATAATTCCAAAGTTATATGGATTTAATCTTTCACTTGGTAGAAATTTATTGTATTTTTTTGTCGGAGAGTACAGATGAATTTGAGCGGGGACTGGCTTTGGTTTGGAGTTTGTCTCCGAGAGGGTTTTGATAAAGACGACTTACGGTGAAGATGTATCAGAAGATGTATTTATGGTCTACAAACGTGCACTTAAATAAAATTTTTAAAAAATTCAATCATGAAAAAAAATCTTGTTATGCTATCTGGTAAACCATCAATTCAACCAATAAACAAAAAGGGGGGAGGGGAGTCTTTGTATAGCCTGTTTTTTTTGCAAGAGCAGAACAGTCTGGTAAAATAAAGCTTTTACTAAAGATAAAACAAATGAGATATTTAAATTTACTGAATTTTCTCCTTACAAAAGTACATATTAGATTCAATAAAGGAATTGAGTCTTTGCAACAAACTCTGATTTTCTGGTCCTTTAATTGTTCAAACCAAATGTCGTAGACCTTGGATATTTCAAACTATGAATTATGTTAGCTCAACTAATCTAAGTTTGAAATATCAAATGTGTACAACATCAGGTCGCTTAGATATTGGAATTTCGAAATTTAAAGTTTGTTGCTAAAACTCAATTCCTTTATTTAAATCGAGAATAAGAATATTAAAAAAATTTGGGTCTTATGCGTTTGACATACTTTTTATATGAACATTGTTTAAAACTTTGTTCAAAACTTCGTGTAAAACATAAATTGATGACAGATGGAGTACGGATAATGATGATGTATTAGAATTAATACCGGTGTCGTTTAATTCAAGCCTTCAGTGTGGCCATATCCTTGATGTCAAGATAGTTCCAGGAACAGCGAATATGAATGCTAGAACAAACATCAAAATTATAGGTATCTTTTAATATATATAATATATATATACACTTTAAAACATTGTATTATATATATTGCTTTGTCCGTCTCTCTGTTTATTTTATCCAATGAATTGTACTGCAAAAGAAAGAATTAAAACCAAGATTATTACTAAACGAGGGGTCCTGATTCCTGAAACCCTATTTTAATATAATTGATAAGACTTTCTTTGCTCAATTACTGAAACATGAGCGTAAAAAATAACTTGTTGATCATATTCCCGAATACCTTACCTACATTGTATTTTAATCTTATTTCTTATCATGTTTAGCTGAAGATGTGAGGGAAGGTATAGAGGAGCGGAAACCAAATATAGAATTCTCTCTTGCTGTAGCTCCCATTTCCCGACTACAAATAGAGGGGAAGAAAACTAATTTTCACGTGAGTAACTATCAATGATGCAGTTCAATGAAATAATTACGGCTTGAAAATCAACAGTTAAAAGCTAATATTGATACCAGAAAAGAGGCTCGAAGCTTCCTTAAAAATCGTTTGATAAATTAAAACTTATTCACATTTATTAATTTCTGTGTCAACTTTGAAGATAAAAACATGTAAATCACATTTTTGACACCACAAATTAGGGTAATTTTTTCTTTGTATAATTTATAAACCATTAAAAAAAGGAACTATTATCTTCAATCTTAAAATTTTTGTCCCGTTTTCTTCTTTTTTAATATGATTGTATAATAAACCATGATGATTCAAACTTTCTAACGAAGTTTATTGTTATGAATAAAAAATATAATTATTAGAAAATTGGATTGTAATTAGAGATCAGTTTATTTTATACAAATCTTTTATGTTTAAACATACTTATTGCTTAGGTTAACGATCCAGCTTCAGAATTTAAATTGGTTGCATTCGACAAGGAGGGTGCCAGGTTCGATACTCTGGACGGGATCAAGCTGATGTGGTTAATTGGCTCCTCAAGGGATATAGCAGACTTCGAGGTAAGGCAGAAGTATTTGAATATGCAATATGTGTTTTTGGACAAGGATCTCCTTTTGGGGCATTTATGCATTAATATTTACGAACTAGATTTTTCATTTGATGCCTTAATCACATTTATATAGTTTCGATCATAACTCCAAAGCTTTTTAGAAGAACAAAAATACTTTAATTTACTTAAAAGTAACTGAACAAATTAGCTTTCCTCATACATGCGTAAAATAAAAACTTGGAGACGCTGCAAGGTCACAAAGTTGTACCTGTAATGCCGCTTGAAGGAGTTGAGTGTATGCCACAAACTCCAATTTTCTAATCAGATGCGGTAAATATTTTATATTTCAAATTTAGAATATTTGAGCTGTCAGAATTCTTAGGTTAAAATGTCAAAAGTCTATAAACAATGGGTTGCAGAGATACAGACTAAAAAATTTGAGTTTGTGGCAAAAACTCAGCTCCTTTGACTTACCAGTGAATTTATTTTTAGGGGAACAAGAAAAATTAGTTTTAAAAGAAGTGAAATAGAGTATAATTTACCAACGGTGCAATCCTTTATGTTAATCTAAAAGAAATTAACTAGAATGAACATTATAGAACATTCTACAGTTTATTTTCATGTTCTAGAGTTGATAGGGTTCCGTGTATACAGCCTGATTCCATTATTGTCTACTGTATATTACAAATATCTAATGTTAAAACATTTGTAATAATGAAAACCGAACTCAATTCAAAGTAAATTCAGCAAATAGAATGTTAATTAATAATAACATTCCTGTATAAAAGGAATTGAGTCTTTGCCACAAACTCTGATTTTCTTATCACTATATCTTTGGAACTCAATGTTGTAAACTTTAGATATTTCAAATATGAATTCTGTTAGATCAAATAGTCTGAGTTTGAAATATCAAAGATATTGGGTTAAAATATTTGAGTTTGTGGCAAAGACTCAATTCCTTTGTCCCGATCTAAACTAAGAAGTAGTAACAAAATCAAATACTTCAGGTCTACGATGAAAATTAAATTGAATTTTATGTGTTTGTGTAAGTAAATAGAAATAATAAATATAATAATTGCTTTGGTAAATATATTACTTAAGTTATCTCTAGTCAAATCAAAACTCAGCAGAAGTGGATATTGTACCTACAAGATCAGGGAAAGGAACATTATTTGTTGTTTTAGAAGATTCGTTTTATAAGGTATCTATTCAAACTCATCTTCAATTTTGATTCATAAATCGTAATTGATTAAATAAAAACATCACATATATACGATAACATCAAAAGTAAAAATAGTAAATATATCTTTTAGCTCTTAAGTGTTTTTATACAATCGTTCAAACAATTAAAATGAGGAGTTAGTTCAATTTAGTTTTATTTATTTCATATATATTTTTAATCATTACTTCTAGTTCATGAAAATCTACATTGAAAAAAAGCAAAATAGCACTTTACCGCCTTTTTACCAACATAACTGACCTATGATTCACCCATCAGAGGGACTTTAAGTCCCTTGGGAAGATTAAATAAAATAATGACCCGCTCGGCAAGTTTTCGTGCAATTTCATTTCAAAAGACGAAAAAATTGTGTACAACCACTTTTTCGGGGAGTTAAAAAGTTTACTTAAACACGGGTTCCCTCGACCAATTTTGCCTGCAAAACATCCCTCATTGGTCTTCGGAAACCTTGGTAAAGTAAAATTATTCTAACTGCCCTCTAAAGTATAGTTGTAAATAATTAAAACAATTCAGAATGTAAAATCTCCTACGCTGGATATTCGAGTTAAATCTCCCTTAATCGTGGAACCAGACGGTCCGTACATAATGCCAGGAGGAGAAATCGAGATATCTTTGTTCGAGAATATTGGAACAAAACAGGAGCCCAAACTGGAAAGTAAGTATAACAGACAATATTCAACAAAGATAATAATGAATAATTTGATGAATTTTAAAAGAAATTATTGTTCATATCTTTTTTCAAGTATTAGAACTGAAAGGAGAGTCTGCTGAGTACAGAATATCGGTGAAGAATGAGAAGGTTGCAAAGATAGATCAAGAGCGAGGTGTCATTGTTGGTATAGAACCTGGAGAGGAAACAACGGTAATTAACCCGGGTTAAAAGTAGATATTGTTTGACTGAAATCACAAACTTTTTATTTTTAAAGGTTTTAATGTCAAGCTTTTACGTTGTAATTGGTTACCTTCAGAGGCCCATATACAGGAATTTGTTCTAGGGGGCTTATCCTTAGATTTTGAAATCTAACATGATTCAAAGTTTTAAATATGAAAGATCTACGACGTTGGGTTGCAAAGATATAAAATTAGAAAATCGTAGTTTGGCCGGCAAACATCTCTATAACTTTGTTCTGGATGCATTAATAACAGCGGCATCAGATACCCTTGGTGAATTAGTTATCTTCAATCTTATTATGTAACGTATATGCAGCTTCAAGTAATTACAAACATTTTCCATTAAGATTCTAGTGCATGATGCAGAGGGGACAATCGTTAAAGGGGCTCCTATTCGGGTAACATCACCACACAGCATGAAGATTGTATCTCACCCATTTCCCCATTCAAAACAGCTGATTATTAACAGGTATTATAAAAACACTGGGTTTTCAACAGATTCTTTCTTTCTGATTTGATTTTTTGTCTTTATTTTAGGGTGTACAATATCACTGTTAAAATTTATGACGAGAATGAACAAGAAATTTATCCGTCAAACAATATTCTGACTAAAACAACATTTGGAAAACAGTTTGAAGTCAAACAGGTAAAACTCATTTTTATATTGAAGTTCTTATGTTTTATCTTAAACCTTCAGGTATCAGAGAATGGTCTTTGGGCTATAGTGGAAACTTTAGCTGTTGGAGTTGGTCAAATACGAGCTAGCTTACGATCAACAATTGGAGCTGATGATGAAGAGAGTGAAATAACGCCACATATCAAGGTTTATGAATTTAAACATCAATGGAAATCGTTAAACTCATTATTCAATGCAAATACAAAATATGTGCATGATATGTTTGTCTTACTCTTTTAATAATCTATTTAGGCAGTGAGCGAGTTCAGGATATATGAAGATATATTGATGACTCCTGATATGACGAAACTACCCTGGGATCCTAATCACAAGGAGAACCATGATTACCAGCTTACTTACAAGGTACAAATAAAATATAGCTCGACAGAGACAAAAGTTGGACAGGTTAAAATTTATGAATAGAGAAAACATTGGACTTTACTGAACACAAATAATAATAGATACATATGTTCATAATAGAAATTCATGTTTACATTTTATAATTTCACTACTTTCGCTTTCGGATTCTTGGGTATGTTCAGATTTAGAAGCTTCACAGCCAACAAATTAATTCATTAATCTTGATAGAAAGGATAGGCAAGTTTCTGACCAAATTCTTTGAATCAGATGCTTGCTTGTGCTTTTTGATGTGCTTGCTGGTGTTCGGATTTTCCCTCTGATTATTCATGTGTTCATTACTTAACTGAACAACCATCTCTGATATTTACAAAATCAGAGTCTTTAAATTCTGTTTTCTCTTGTCTTCATCTATCTTTATTCAAAATCATTTTCATCCAAGCATGGGCGGTTTCAGGATTTAACATAGGAAGGGGGGGGGGTAAAATAATATATTACCCCCCTCTATTGCTAAAAAGTCTGTTTATCCTCCTAAAATTACAGTTTCTTTTACCTTTAAGTACAGGGTAGCTAGGCAAATGCCAGAGTAAGGCAAAAAAAATCCCTCCAATCTACTATAATTTAGTTTTCTTGGACCACTTGAAATAAAGGCATTTAAAACTCTGTTGTCTGAAATTGAGGCAAGCCTCTTGGGATGCATTGCCATCCGTCCCAGGTTGACCAACCTGTCAGGGGTCATAGATGACCTGTTCCAGGTCAAAAGCCTTTGGAGTAATGACTTTGTAAAAATCCAGGGGGGTACACCCCCCCTAATTTCACTCAGAGGGGAATGGACTACCACCCCCCCTGAAACCGCCTGTGCATCCAAGAGATGCTGTCCATCTTGCTTAACAAGAATGTTCCAATAAACATTGGAATTAAGGGACGAATACGAACTAGTTTTTGTTAGGAATTAGTTTACCTAATAAATGATAAATTTATCTCCGCTGGCGAATATTTTATGTAAACGGTGAAAGGCTGTTTTGATATTCTGCAAAATGTGTCATGGTCAGTGGTCACTTATGATGTGTCTGCAGCATTTCTGCCAGATAAACAGTAAAGATTAAAGAAGAACAATCTAACTCATATAACTAAGCTCAACATTAAGCAATTGAAATAAATATAAACAAACAAATTCTTAACACTAGCAGAAGAAACATATGTACGGTTTACTGTTTTAAAAAAACTCGCTCAATTCACATCTTTATGTAATTCACATTTTTATGTATTTCACATCTTTATGTAATTCACATCTTTATGTAATTCACATTATTATGTAATTCACATCTTTATGTAATTCACATCTTTATGTAATTCACATCTTTATGTAATTCACATTTTTATGTAATTCACATCTTTATGTATCATTATTGTTTTGGCTACATTTTCAAATCAAGGGTTTACCATGTGGCCATTTTAATGCTAGCAAGAAACTATAAATTGCGAAATTGCGCAAGTTTGCATACATTGCATGGCACCGTAAATTAATTTATTTTTACAATGTATTGTATATACATATAACAATATGCAATGCATTTTCACTTAATCTGTCTATTAAGAATACTGATGCTTATATACTATATTAGATTACCTTGTCAAAAATTGAAATTTAGAATTTCAACCTTCTCCTTTCTTTATAGATATTCAATATTTATGCAAAAATATGCTTTTATTTATCAGTTTGCATGTGTTCATTTTTATTCCTGTTCCAGGCTACTGGAGGAGGCCAAACTTTTAAATATCATGTCGAACCTGAAGACTTGGCCAGAGTTTCTGCTGATGGAAAGGTTTATTTAAAAAACTAACAGTTTCTTGTTTCTTTTTCTGTTGATATTCATAAAATATGTTTGTAAAGGTAAAGATCTTGGGTGGACCAGGAATTATTAACGTAACCACTGGTATGGCCTCTAGTATGCATAACAACTTTACAGCAAAGGTACCAAATTCTTAATTTGTTTGTTGGATTAATTCAATACGCAAACTTTGATGCACATTTTCATGTATTTTAAATAAAATATGTAGTGTGCATAACATTACATTAAAAATTAGGAATTGTCTTTGAAACAACTCCATATAGGACACTTCGTTATATTATTTTCATTTTGAAATTATGGATATCAAATGGGAAATAGTTTTAGAGTTCTGTTGACGTTAAAGTATGGTTTGCGGCAGACATTTAAAAAAATTTTATTTTTTCCAAACGAATTATTTTTTGATAATGTTACAACAAAAAATATTATTCAGACCTATCCCAACTGTTTGGGCCAGTTTTAAAGAAGCTATAAATATGAGTTTTGCTAGATCAATGTCATAATTTCAAATATCAAAGATTTACACTATCTGGTTTAAAACGGCAAGTGCTCAATTCTTTTTTTATGATAGATTTTCATCATGGAGGTTCTTGATATAGAGATCTTAAACTCGACATCTGAAGGACATATAAATACTGAAATGATGATACCAATCGCTGCTTATGGTGGACATCCAACGACAGGGGAGAAGATACTTTATGATGATTGTAGCGATCTAGAATTTCAAGTCAAGCTCAGCAACTCTAAGGATTTTTCATACCAGGGGAAATCATGTAAGTTTAAATTCTGATAAATTAATTTTAAATTGAGCAATTTTTAATTGATTTGAATTTTCATTAACATATTTCACTCTAATTTAATCTTTAAGATTTTTTAAAAATTGATATCAATTATCTTATTATCTTGTCCATTGTTCATAGTTAAATTTAAGATCGAGGAGATTCAACAGAATACGGAGGATGCGCTTTTCTACGAATTGTTGGATCAAAGACAGCGAATACTATTCTAACTGTTTCATTCCTTAACAGTAACGGTACCACTCTTAAATCCTCAAAGCAGTTCTCAGCTTATAAGTAAGATGTCAACCTTAATAACATTTTTCTTACAAAAAAAGGGAATTAATTTATAGTTAAAGTAGAAGAAAAAGATGTTTTTACTAAACAATTAGCACTTCATGTTGCTGAATAGTTACAGCTCCCTTTACTCAAAAAACTTTCTTTAGCTTTCTGACTGTATTTTATCTATTTACATACAAATATTGAATATTGAAAAAAAATTTAAAAGTGTAGAAAATTTCTTTCACATTAAATAGAATGATAATTAAACTTTTTGATTATATTATACTTAAAACTTATTCCCGAATGAGGAAGCAACATTTTAAACTGGTGAATTGATTTTTAGTGGTTTTTATTTCATTTATTAATGTATCTAAACCTTTAGATTAAAATCCATATAGTTTAACACAACCTGAATATTCCAAACAGTTTGAAAATAATAAAAATTTCAATTGCAGAAGCCTTGAGTTTGTTGAACCCATGCGGAGGAATGGTGAGAAGTTCAATGTTATTCTTGCTTTGGGTACATCAAGGGAAGCTTTTATATTTTATTATCCACACCAAATATACAATAAACATCAGTTATTTGTAGATATGCGACCCCGTAAAACGGTAAAAACGGTTTTAAGTACAAATGTATGCGCATTGCGCAGTGTGCAAAAAATGTATTTTTTAACTTTTTATTGTTACACCATCGTAAAACTACAATTTGAACAAAGATATGAATTGGGAGATTATTACTCTTTAATCAACTGTTACGCATTTCATGACAGGAATAATTGGCATTTGATAGACGAGTTGTACTCAGCGGAGGACCTTTACCTTGGGTTGGGAAGCCATCTTCCTTCTACACTCTAGGTAATGGACTAACCCAGGATCTGGGTAACTCCAGACGTTAAAAAAAATTTCGAATGCAAGGTTGGTACGGGATCTTCAAACTTTTCCTGGTTTGATAGAATCACTTCTTATTTTTAGTAATTATTTGTTTAGCTGGAGCTGAAGACGAGTCAGTAGGACGTGTTGTCTTAACAACAACCCAACCTGCTCAAGATTATTATGTTCTTGAAGCAACTTGTCTCAGCCTTGGAGAAACAATTGGATTCCTTACTGTTGGCAACAAACCATCCTTTACAAACAGGTAAAAAGCAGAGTTGAAAAATCTTTGCTTAGTTCTTTTTAAATATTATAAGATAAATAAATACATTTTCGCATCTCATGTAAAAAAAGTCAATTGTTTCATGTTTTGATAACTTAATATCTGTTTGTAATGATTAGTAAACCTGCCCTGCAGAATCGTGTATTTAATCTCATCTGTACAGAACCAGCCAAGATAAGCCAGGTGAAAATTGATAACTCTCAATAATATTTAGCTGAGTTCAATATGAAATATTAGATATATATTAGATTGTTGTGACTTAAAAAAAATAGCTAAGTTTTTTTTCAAAACTGCATGCAAAGAAATTGAATGTATGCCACAAACTAATATTTTAAAATCCCAACCTTCCTATCTTCCCAACCTGATGGTGTGAACCTTTGATATTTCAAACTTAGACTAGCTATTTGCTAATTCATTGTTTGAAATATCTATGGTTATTAACCAGTAGATTGGGCAGTCAGATATCCGTATGTTTTGAAACCATGCTCAATTGAAAAAACCTAGATTCGTGCAACAGTACCAAGAAAGGGAGGCTCAACGTACAATGGAGGTGTAGTGGATGAGGAGACTGGAAGAATAAACTTGTACTCCCACCGTGATATTCAACTTGACTTTATTGTTAAGGTATATTAAACAAATTATTCATGATGTTGGTTTAAAATATTTTAACAAAAATGTCAGGGTTTTTAATCATAGGTTTTAACTTTTTAAATGAAAACATTGAATATGAAGGTTGGCTAGTCTAAGTAAGAGTAAATATTTATAACAGAAAAATATATTTGATATTAAAACCTTTTAAGTACTTAAGTCTCATTCTTTTACCCCTCCAAGTTAAAAAAAAAAACTAAAAACAGGAATGTCTTATTAGAAATTCAAAAAGGTAAAATTTTTCAGATTTTTCATCTTGTAGCTGTTTTTTAATAAATGTATAGATATTAAATTGCTTCTATATTTTTATAGCTCAAAAACTTAAATGCATAATATAAATTGTAAATGGACACAAAACCTAATGACAATACTTTCAGGATGCTGAGGGAAGAAGTATTGAGAACATTACAAGTCTTAACATAGAGTTCAAGGTGTCAGATACAACAAAGCTAAAGTGTTTGGAACCTTGCTCCGGAATACAACTCCCAAAACCTTCAGAACATTTAAGCTCTATTTTCATTCCATCAAAACGTAAGTATCTAACAAGTGACAACCCTAAATCTGTAAGATTACTAACATATATCTGATCAGATTTCAAAGACGACTTTACAAAAATTAATTTGTCCCTTTTATTACAGGGCATGGTGTCTTGAAACTAAAAACGTGTATATCTGTTGTTTGTTTCCAATTGATTCGGTGTATTAAGACTATCAAATGTAAAAAAATATATAAAGTTCAGATTGTCTCTATCTGATGTTAATGGTTCATCCGATGCTTCATTATCCATGAGAACATACTTTAAAAAATTGTACGAAAATCATCTGTTAGTTCATAATGTCATTATATATTATATATTCAAACAAAATAAAATGGTATATCTATTCAACTTTAGGTTTTTTAAAAACGTGCGGTTACAAAACATATTTTCCACACATCTTTAAACTTATTTAGAAGAACATGATTTAAACTTAACTGGAACTGACAAGGGCCTTACCAATACCATTTTTTTCAGAATGTTCATCCGGATTGAAAATTCTCTTCCCATAAAAGTTTTAGAATTATTTAGAGGATATAGCATTTTGATCTTAAATGGAATATATTCATGCATTATTTCAGCTGCCCAGATCTTTAGCCCTCAAGGATTGAAAGGGGATGTAGATATTGAAATATCTATCAAGGAGTACAGGTGAGCAGTTTGCATAATTATTAGTATTATAAAAGTTTTTTTGAAAACATAATATATTTAAAATGTAACGTGTATCTCTTGCGAAAGCAATATTCAACATGGATCTGTAGAAAAAAGGTTACTTTCGATTTTAAATGTTAAAATCTATAACTTCAATACTAAAATGTCGTCTATTGTGATTTAAAAAGTGCTTCATAACGATGTAACGGGAACATAATATACGGGAACCCAAAATATTAATAACTTGTCTGTCAGGGCAAATTTCAAACAAATAAATTGAACACTCGCCACAATCAATAATTTTCTAATTATTATATTTTTGCAACCTGTTGGTGTTAACCTTTTGTTCATTGATCTAACAGAATTCAACATTTTAAATATCAGATGTCCACGACAAAGGTTGGAAAGATATAAGAGTTAGAAAAATAAAGTATGTGGCAAATAATCATTTTTTATAGTAATTTTTGTTTTATTTTCATATATCTTGATTATTTTTAGAGAATCTGTGCTAAACAGCGTGGGAGCAAAATTGCCTCGTTCCTTTGGTCATCCTGTTTCATCAAATGGGGAGGAGGACGAATATTTGGAAATATCTGAGACTATTGAGCTAACTTTGACAACAGATGCGAAGGTAATGAAAAAAATGTACACAGATTTGGAAATTAACGCATGGTTACTTATGACATTCCAATTTGCAAAATAGCGCTTCATTTACAATACCGTCAACTTGTCATCCTATTGGTTGTTCATAAAAAGCTATAGAAATGTTTTATTTACTCTAGGTAGAAGCTGTTGCAGAAAATTTGAAATCCATTTAAGTGTCTGTATTAACCAACAACTTTGAGATGAAACCTGCAGAATATAACATAAATGTTTTTTTTTTCTAATTACACCAGTTATGTCGTGTTTTTTTTGTACAATATTCCTCTTTATAAACCTCTATATTAGTAGTACACGCAAATAAATGACAATCCAATGATCCCACATAGTTGTATTCGATTCATTAATTTATACGTTTAGTTTGCAATATTGTGTATTGAAAAGTTACAAAAACATGTTTGACGTTTGTTGGATACAAACGTACAGTTTTTTCGAAAAAAGCAACTTCAGGGTGGCCAAAATGTACAAATAGTAAGGATTTAAATTGTACGGTTCACTGTGATCTTGCCTGGTAACATTTGTTGCTAAAAACGTTCTGGGTCGACTTTACACCATGGGTAGTCCAGACTGGACTGAATGCATTATACAATACTTGTCGTTCCAGCTCGGATCATACAACTTTCATAGTGCGGTGTTTACCGGAATTGTACACATTTTTTTTTAACATGTACGGATTTCCAAAATTTTAACCTTAAAAATTATATTTTTTTGCGTTCGAATTTTCAAAATCAGTCAATTAAAATTCATTTTAAATTTGCTCCCGACCAAATTAAATTCGGTCGATGGTTATTTAATTCAGTCGACAGCCAAATTTTATCTACATTTAAACCAACAGCGATTTTGTTTCTGACCGTTCTCAGCTTACATTCATTCATTTTTAGACTTAATTCAGATAAAAACAAACAAGGTATGAAAATCATGTCTTTAGTTTTTTGATATATTTAAGGTAAGTTTGTCTGTCGCTAACCATTCAGCAGCTTTTTCAAGTTATACATTTGCTGGTCATTCAAGTTATTTCCACTGAGCTGATATGAAGTATAATTTGCAAATCAAAGGAAAAGAAATTTATCAGATTTTGTAATTTATTTAAATAAGGGAAAAAACGACCCTCGGTGAACACGAACCTCCACTGTTTAGGATGAGACTCATGTCATTTAAACTATTTGTTTAATTGTTAAACCAAAGATCTGCATTATATTATGCATTATATATTGTACAGTTAAACCCTGAATAAGCCATACATCGACAGAATTTATCAAATATCGTCTTGACAATCTTTCAATGGGTTTTAACTTTACGTAAATTTCAGTATTTGCTAAAATTAATAAATAGCCATGAATTTGCGGGAACAGTTTTAAAGAGCTCAGAAAGTGAGGAAAACGACTTTTGATGAATTCTTTCGATGTTGGGCTTATTCAAGGTTTAACTGTACTCAATAACTGTAAAATTGGTTCCAGTGTTATGACTCTGAGATTAAATTCCAAATTGAAACTTATATAAGATTTGATGTTTATTCATTAAGCTTATCATTTGTTTTGCAACACTTTTTTCGAGAATTTTGCTCAGACTTGAAAATCTCTAAAAATGTTTTAAAATCCTGTTACAGGATTTGCTCCCTAGTTCGCCACCAATTAAAAAAAAAATTTTTACAATATTTATGTGGAGATGGGCGCGTTTGCCTCATTTTATATCGTTAGTTCGTGATAATCGTGAACCATTTAATTTTTTTTCAAACGTTAAAAAAAATTGATTTCGTTCGTTCTCAAAATATCGCTAATTTTCCATCTATTTTGCTCGTTTTCTCAGTAATCGAGCCTTCAGTAAAATGGTTTATTCAGTAATTTTTAAAAATTTTGTTCTAAAAATCGTTCACTTAGTAAAAAACGATAGTTTTTGTCAAAATCTTTTGAAAATTCCTGTTAAAAAAACTATCGTTTTTTATAAAAAAAACGTAAAGAAGTAGTAGTAGCAGAGATCTAAAGATATAATTTCCATGATTGAACTATAATTTAGAATCCTGTGTACAGAGATGAAACAAAAGAACTTATTACGTCCCGGTTTCATCCATGTGAGCTAATAACATAGTTTTTGATCTACTCACTCAGTCATGGCCAAAAAGATCGAAGAGTAAACATAATTTATTTTGAAATAATAAGTAACATCCACGATTAAAGTATTGTGCAGGCTGTAGGCCAAGGTTTCTTGTAATGTATAAGATATATCACATATAAGTAAACAGTCCAATTTATGTAGTTTCTGTTTTTATATTTATAATACTTTAGTGAAAGCAGATCATTCAGAAGCAGTTGCAAATCTTCATATTTTTCAATTCTCTATCGTACAAATGTATACAGCTACTGATTTTTAGTTAGTAAGTTAAGTTCCATCACGCCTTGATGGAATGTCTTTGTAATTCGTGTATGCTTCTCGCATTCAAAATTTGAGGAACCTGAATTAAACATCTGATCTAAATATATCGAAACAATTGTTTATTTATTATGAATTAAACACAAAAACTTACAAATTTTATTAAATTTTGTCTAATAAAGAAAGGCATTTTAAATTAGCTAAAAAAATTAAAAGATTAGGAACTTTTAACTATAACCATTAAATATTCACTTTTTAAATACATTTTAAGGCTTAACATATTTCTGGATTCTTTCGTTTAATTTCAAGGACTTATTTTTTTGTCCCCAGCTCAGTGTAGAAAAGTTTTTTCAACATTCCTTCCCCCCCCCCCCAAAAAAAAACTTATTGATTCAAAACTCAAATATTTTTAAACCTCTGTTATTGTTTGACCGGTTTACAACGGTACCCTTAAACCTTTGTCTAACCGACCAAGAATAAATGAGATATCCGTGATGTCTCTTTAAAAAATTTACTATTTTCAACTGTGATTTCTCTTAACTGACTCGCAGATTTCTCGTTGTAGAATTAAACGATGGAGTAAAATGTGAGATTTGAATACTTCAAGATATAAAAATACGATATCTTCCACATTATTGATTAGATAAAGGTTTAAAGGGTCTCGTTGTGAATCGGGCATGGTCCTCCTAAAGTGGAGGGTCACTTGAAACTTGAAATTTATATTTAATTTTGATTATTTCTTACCTGAAGGTTGACTTGCTCTCCTCCCTTCCCGCTCATCTGAGACTGAAAAGACGGGATACACCTGAAATAAGTATGAAATAACTTTGATATTTTGATATCCAGAATCTGACAAGTAACTGACAGTATCTATCCTGTTTCCTATAGAAATATAAATACTACACTAGACTGTATCTATCCTGGTTCCTATAGATATATAAATACTACACTAGACAGTATCTATCATGGTTCCTATAGATATATAAATACTACACTAGACAGTATCTATCCTGGATCATATAGAAATATAAATACTGCACTAGACAGTATCTATCCTGGTTCCTATAGATATATAAATACTACACTAGACTACATCTATTCTTGTTCCTATAGATCTATAAATACTACCCTAGACAGTATCTATCATGGTTCCTATAGATCTATAGACAGTATCTTTCTTGATTCTTATAAATAATTTTGGTTGCTATTGATCCATAAATACTACACTAGGCAGTATTCTACCTTGGTAGTTACATTCAATTTTTGAATACGAAAAATATTTTACTGTTGAATTTATTGATGTACGAATTTACGAAAGCCACATTTTTATAGGTCTGTAGGAACCAGGATAGATACTTTCTAGATCTAAAGGAACTATGATAGATACTGACTACTACCCAGAAATTAAAATTAGAGAGCGAAGCGCAAAAAAAACCTAGCAATTTTAGTAATAATCATAATTCTAAGTATAACTTAGATATACTAACCCTAAATCTGTTGATCCAACATGTCCTGTATGTCTGAAATCCATAGGTTCGCCAATCATAGACCGATCAATCCGGGGCCTTCTGTTACAAATAAAAATATCATTAAAAAGTTGGTCAGGTAAACAATGATAACCAAACAAGAAATGCGTTAGATGAGATGCCAATACAATCTCATTTAGAAAAATTATCTTATAAAGACTGAGTAAATTCACGCTTAAAAGTGATGAGAAAGTATATTAAAGCAATAATCATATACAAGCGTTTTTTTCTAAGAATTAAATAATTTTTGGTAAAGGAATTGAGTTTTTGCCACAAACTCAAATCTTCTGATCCCAATATATTTGCAACCTGATGGTGCAAGCCTTTGATATTTCATACTTAAATTATTTTATCTACAAGTATTAATAGTTTGAAATTTCTAAGGTCTACGACCTTGGGTTACAAAGATATAGAGATTAGAAAATCAGAGTTAGTGGCAAAAACTCAACTCCTTTGTTAATATTTGGCAATATATACAAAATACAATTCCAAAATATTACAACATAAGAAATATTTATGAGAGAGATTACGCATACTATTTTAGAAATAGACCTTCTAGTTTGTTCTTGCTCCTGCTCTGCAACACATGAGAAAAGTTGGAACCAAAACTCTCCGGCCATGATCTTGATGAGGGATGACGCAGTAGAGATTTATCAATATTTCTGAACCTTGTTCGGATTTCAAGCGATTTTCATGACATTTTCAGATTTTAGAAATTGGATACCGGGTTGGAAGATTAGTATTTCTGACGAACGCGTTCAACCTGAAACATACTGAAAAGTTGGTGATTCTGGATAAAAAAATAATGTACACTATTATAAAAGAGGTTATTTTTATACATACTAGCTGAAGTGCCCAGCGTTGCCTGTATAATTTTATTAACACAGAAAAAAATTCGATTTTTGAAAAAAAGATTTTTTAGCCTATGTCAACCACCCGATCCGGGCACCCATGGGTTCCCTCAAAACGTTTCAGCCAATATGGTCCAGCTGTTTGGCTAGATATAGCTAACATATAGATATTATATCAAATATGGTCCAGCTGTTTGGCTAGATATAACTAATATATAGATATTATATCAAATCACCAAATTAGTATCCTGAAGAATGCATAGCATTAAACATAATGTTGATACTATAAAACTTCAAATCATGTTTTGAACACTTATTTTCTTATCTTCAATATAATTTCTAGTGGGACTCAGTCAACGTAATGAAAGGATGGAAACGGTAGAGTAAGCCTTAGACGAACAACTTGTTTTATCTGAAAATCTGTAAAAGATGAAACTGATACTTGTAAACTAATTGTTTTAGTAGAGATAAGGTTTATCTTAAATAGGTGAAAAAAGATTTAGTTTTATTTATTTTTGTTGTAATGAACTAATTTTTTGTTAGTAAAACTGCAATATGTGATGGAAAAATGCTATTGAACAAAATTAAAAAATTTGAACTTTCATTCCTTCATTGTATTCCCAAAAGCTCCGATATGAATTTTTAAAAGCGAATCTTAGAGAGGAGGAGTAAAAATAACTTTTACTGGAATCTAACATGAGATGTGAAATATCTGATTTCTTTGACCACAAAACTTATTGCTATATAAAAATCGTTAATTTTAGTTAACCTTAAACCAGACTCATTCATGACCAAAAAGATCGAAGAGTAAACTTATTGTTAATGAAAATCGTTAATTTTAGTTAATCTTAAACCTTTCTATAAAATATGTTTTGATTTCAATCTAAACAGGCACATTCAGTGATTTTTTTCTTTGTTGATTTAGAACATGAATGCCAACAATTATTGTGGGAAAAGGAAAGGTTTAGTTTAAAAACACTACTTAAGTACACAAAAATTGCAAGAAGTTGTTAAAACCTACACTTTCAACCACACACAATATTTTTTTTAAATAGCTCAACTTTTGAAATTTGATTAAAGAATAAAATTACTTTGAAGTGGGTGTATATTTTTAAAATTCATGATTTTTGAAGATCTGGGGGAAAAATGAAAAAAATAGAAGACAAGTAAATTTCCATTCTTTTTTTATAATACTTTTTACTTAAAAATATATACATTTTCCCCAAAAATCATAACTTTTCCCAAATTCAGCGAAAAAAATTTCTTAATCTACTTCTCTTTCTTTACACGCCCCACCGGTGTACATTTGAATATCCGAACTGGGCCAACCTTTGAAGTCCTACTTTGGACTGTACCGCCAATTTACAATTACTAAAGCGGCAGAGTAGTGTGTGCCCCTTTCGCCCCCCCCCCCC